TCTGCTAAAGGAGACAATCTAAAAGGACAATGCAACCTCGGACTGTGCCATCAAAATGGTATAAGTTCCTATGATGGTGATGAAAGGATGGTTAAACAAAGCTTGAAATCAGATGAAAGCGCAATTGCAGCCAATATGAGTGATTTTGATGGAATACTTCCCGTGTAGCACAGTTATCAACATGGAATTGGAGTCGATAAAGACGAACAGGAGGCATTAATTTATCACCAAAAATCTGCTAATATTGAAGGGGTTGATAAATTGTATGATGTTGCCTGCCATTATAAAGGAAATAATGCTGAAGAAAAAGAATGTAAAATGATTAGTATTGATGATTGTAAAGCCAATAGTAATCATTGTAAAGATAGAATAGGAGTTAAAATTGATGAATACAAAGTATTTATATATTATTAAAAGGCTGCCAATATAAATAAAACAAGGGGATCTGGTTCAGATAATGGAACTAAGGTTGGTTCTGTATATAAGCGAAGCTCAGAAATGAGAAATAGAATATATAAACCTGAGTATTGTCGCAAAGATGAAACCGGTAATGAGAAGTCTGCTGAAGATGGATGAAAGGTGTTTGAATGGTATCTGAACTCAGTTGAGAGCTGCGATTCGATTGAACAATATAAGCCTGGACGATGTTGTCAAAAAGGTATTGACATGGAAGAAGACACACATAAGATTGAACCAAATGGGGTAAAAGGGCTGCCACTAATATTCAGGTCCTAAAATGATGGTATGAAAGTAAGGAAAGGCTTGAATTATGGATTGTTGTCTAGGTTCCATTGTGACGTCAAACACAAATGGGATAGAAGCGGCATGCCTAAAGCCCAAAGACCTTGTGATGGGAATCCAACTTCAATGTTGAAGGTGTTAGATCATATCAAGAAAGTCAGATTTCTCAAGCATCTTTACTTGGATTATATGATCGGCTGCAATAGTGTGGAGCATACGATATTTAGAAATCGAATTGATATGCGTTGTGTATGAAATGTTAGTGAAAAAAAAAATTTTTTGTGTTAGTGTATGTGTTAATTGAATGATATATTGCATTATTAGAGTATTAGTATATAGGTT